CTGATCTGAAGACATTGGTGCAAAACCAATCAGAAGCTGCAGGGGAAAGGTGTTCAATCTTTCCTTCTTTATTGGCCAATGTTAAGCACTTTCAAGGTTTGCAGATTTTATTTTTTCTTTTTGTAGTATTTTTTACTGATTTCTTTAATCTTTTCTGAATTTGCAGAAAAGTGGAAGAACTAAAGCCTGATTTTAAAGGTTTAGATGAGACAGGGGTGGGGGTCTTAAATAATTGAGCAAGGTATGCATGCAATTAGTTGTTATGTAATCTTGTCCATAGCTTTACCTTATCTGATATGATATCTTTGTGTTTTGCAAATTATAAACACCACAGTGCCATTGTTCACATAATACAAACTGAAATGAAGTTTGTTGTGCGTGCAAATTACCTTGTATATAATATTTATTTGCTCAATGTTGCCTGGATATACACGTAAACTGAATTTTCATTGATGGCATTAAATGAATAGATGGTTCCTGTAGTTTTACTCATGGAATCTTGGCCCCCTTTGTTTGCTGTAGAAGTTGAACATAATTAATTGCTTGGTCATGAATTGAGTAGGAGATAAGACACAAATATTATTGATACCACCAGGAGTCAGTTTATGTATTTAATTAATGATTAATATTTTGGTTCTTGGTTCATCAAGTTTAAGAAGTTACAAGCTGACAAATTCTCTTCCTGTAATCATACATAATGCTTATTTAGATATGTTGAAATCCCATATATAAAAAATTACTGAATATGTTGTAATCATATCTGCAACAAATTGGAACTCTGATGAAGTTTTCCCATTACTTGAAGAGCTTGCCGTAATGTTTCTTCCGGTATCTCGGTTATGTTTGAAATCCAGGTTTGTGCCAATTGTTCATCACCAAGGTAGAGCATCTTCAGGACAGCAGAGGCTACCAAGGCCCAGAAGGAGTTCACTTGAAGAATTGGAAACATCCCGTCTCATTTGTGACCAGTACATATTGCCATTGTCTTTTATAATAAAGATTTAGCCATGTGTTTATGGTACTATGTATATCCCACTTGCCCGCTACATCTCTGTTTAAACCAAACCCCTTTTGTTCCTTGCATGAGAGAAATGAGAAGAAAATTGGTGATGTTACACCTCAACAAAACAGATGGTATTGTACAACTAACCAAGCCATAGATCTTCATTTTTAAGGTTGAAACTGCATTTAATGTTAGGTTGACCTAGCGCCACCACGAAAGCTACCACCTCCACCACCATCATTGCCGCTACCATCATCCTTGGGTACTACCGCCACCACAGCTATCTCACCACCGCCACCACCATCATCATGGCTATCATATCTGCCATTGCAACCATTGCTGTCGTCGTCACCACTCATTTACAAATTGATTCATCTAATAAGACGAACTAAAATTTTTACAAGAGATATTGGGGAAGGAGATACGAATAGAAGACCTCCTATGCTATAACTACAAATCCATTGCCACTTTGCGAGTTTTATATGTATACAAACTTCTGATAAAGTTTAGATTAAAAATAAAAATAAAATCGTTATGAACAGAAGGCTCGCGAATCGAGCGGTCGTTTCTTTGAGTTGAAGTCACGTAGGATAATCGAACATACTCAATACGACGACGTTTGGATTGTCCGCTACAGTAGTATGCTGCAGAGAGAAAATAGTTGCACTGTGTCAGAGACTCACAGACTTGCAGTTATCGGCAGACCCCAATTCCATTAATGAACGTCGACGTTTCAAATCATCTCCAAATTCCAATCCATTGAGATCTCAAGCCCGAATTCGAACTGGTTCAAATCTGCACCAATGCCTCAAGAAAACTGGTTCCAATCCCTGAGATCCGAAGCTTCTCATTCTGATTGATTCGAATAAAAGCAATATTCAAATGGGGGTGGTGATTGAGAGCTCTGTTTGGGAGCCAAATCCTGGCCTTTACATATTCATCTTCTTCGCCTCTCTCTTCTCCATCCTCGCCTTCCCTTATGCTTCAAACAAGTACAGCAGCACTGGCAGCAGCAGCATCTCCAGCAAAGCTCCGTCGCTCTTCGACCATGGAATCTCCCCCACCGCCTCCTCTCTCCGCTTCCAGAGGAACTTCCTTCTTATCTATTCTCTCGCCTCAGGTCTGTACGACGTCGTCTCGTATTTCCTTCCGGATAGATCTTCTTTTCTTTTGTTATTTTTGCTCTTTTAAGTTTTAGTTCAGCTTCCGTTTAAGTTTTTGTACTTACATTTTGTCATAAATCAAGCAGAATCGCATTTTAATCTTAATTTAGCTATTTGGTTTGGATCACTGATGGGGTTCTTATGACTTTTTGCTGTCAGTGATGGAGGGACTGTGGTCTGTATTTGGTGAGTTTGAGTTAGCTTACTACGGTTTAAGCAGAGAGCAAATGATGTTTTCTCTCTGTGTTGGATTTGCAGCTTCTCTTTTAATTGGTTCCTTCTTAGGCGTACTTTCCGATTTAATGTAAGTGCATTTTCAGGCCAGTCTTGCTTCTTGTTCGTTTTTCCAATGCTCAATGCTAAACCTTAATTGATTTCCTTTTTTTTGTAATTTGTGTAGAGGTCCAAAGAAAGTTTGTTTCCTCTTTTGCATTCTACACCTCTTTCTTGGCTTGTGGAAGAGAATTATTGATCAGCCGAGTGTTTTGGCTGCGAGCATTTGTTTGTCTCTCGCAGCTTCGATTTTTTCATTCAGTTTCGAGACGTGGATGGTAGTTCAACACGAAGAGGTTGTTCAGAAGTGCCAATTATTTCAGACTTGGTTTGCACGTAGAAACATCACTTAGTCTAGAAATGGGAGTGACTCATATATAGACTTTTGTACACAAGCAATTTGTTGGACTAGCTATAGTGCTAATTATGATGAAAACATTTATGTTTGCAGCAAGGGCACAGGCAAGATATGTTGAGTGAGACTTTTTGGTTGATGAGTTTCTTTGAGTCCGCATCTCTCATTGGAAGCCAGGTGCTTTCAAATTGGCTCATTGGTAATAATGTGGACAAAAACATGGCATCTCATTCCACTGCAGCCATCTTCTTGGCAATAATTGCCTTGGTTTGTCTTCTCAGAGGATGGACAGAAACCCCACAGAAAGTAGCTCTTAAGGAGTATAGGGCGTCTTTCTCTACATATATTTTTGGTGGTAAGAGTTGCATTCGTTTTAAAAAAATTATCTACTTTTCTTGTTCGTTTACTTAAATGAACTATACTGCTTGAATACATTCAGTATGAAAATGAATCAGTTAAATGAGCTCGAGTGAGACTGTAGTTCCAGATATAGTGAAGCATGTTAATTCCGTCAAAGGCAGATGCTTCGAATTTGTGTAAAATTTTGTTCTTGAGGATCAAACTCTTATTGCTTTGCACTTCATTCATTTGCTTGTTGCTATTTGCCTCCTATGATACTCAACTGTATCTGTTTGCCCCAATATGATCAACATGCCATCAATCCTCTGATCCAGGAGAGTAATTTTTTCCATTTCTATAATGTTCTTGATTAGCTAAATCACTTATGTCATCTTTCCTTTAACGAGCTGAGTACCTTGAAGATAATTTTCACACTTTTTAGTTGGGAGTGTTGTTTTTTAATCTTCACTTTTTAGGTGGGAGTGTTGGTTTTTAATCTTCACTTTTTCAGCAACTTATTATTTGCAGTTTAGAGGATTGATTATTTAAAGATGCTGTGCTAGCATGATTTAGCTGCTCTTTTGCATAATGCTTTGCAAATCATGGTGTGAGCTACTGTAGGTGTAAGCTTTAACTATACGTTTGGTGTGTATTCTTACCGTTGAAACTTTATATGGTTGGCAGATAAAAGAATATGGCTTTTGGTGTGGGCACAGGCTTGCCTTCACTTCTCTGTAGCAGTCTTCTGGATACTATGGGCCCCTACTATAGTGGTATGGTTTCTATAATTTAAAGCAAAATGTTTAGCGAAGTGAAAGGTACCATGGTTAATATCTGAACTACTTGAAACTTTATGTTAATGGGATTTGTTTTTTGCACTCAACAAAGAATTCTTTCTTATTCCTGAGTAAATTTAAAAGAGGGGTTTAAAGTTATTGAACCTTAGATATCATAGTTTCAATTTCTTCCATCAATTTTTAATAAATATGTGATTTTAGGCTGATGGACGAGAAGTGCACCTAGGGTTGATATATCCGTGTTTTTTGGGCTCAAGAATGCTTGGAAGCACAATATTTCCATGGCTCGTTAGTGGACTGTCATCCCTGAGAACTGAGGATTGCCTAGTATATGCATTCATTATAATGGGGCTTGTATTGTCTATAACAGCGTATGATTATCAGGTAAAGATGTCTTCTGTAAATGGAAATATAAGAAATATGATCATCAGTTATGTTTAATGATAGTGGTTCCAAAGTTTAAATGTTTAATTGGTGATATGCAGGAAATTGGAGTATTAGTGACATTATTTTGCATATTTCATGCCGGTCTTGGCATGATTTTTCCTTCACTAGCCAGATTGAGGACAATGTAAATCGAACGAGTATTCTGTCTTTTTGTCCGCTAATGTCTCCTCTAAATATTATGCCTCAGGTTCAACTTTTGTTACGTGGATTTTAATTTGATGGTTTTCCTGCTTCTATTTGGTGTTCACAGGTATGTGCCTAATGCACTGCGTGGGGGGATGATAAGCCTTTCTCAAGCCCCAGCAAATGCAGCAATTCTGCTTTTTCTGGTGCAAGTAAGTGTTTCTTCCCAGGATTACTTCAACATAGAAAACATATGATTAAGAAACTCCCTGCCCAGTGAAATTGATGTGTGCCACCAGTGGTGGAGAGCAGCCACAGTAAAAAGGGGTCATAATTGGACTGGTAGATTCCACCATGAGATTTATTGATTAAACATCCATCCACTGACTTTTCTTGCTACCGTGTTATTGATGCAGGGAAAATACTACAATAACATTGGGAACTCAACAATCATAGCGTTTGCTGCCCTTGGACTATTCACAGCAGCTGGTTGCATGCACGTCTTGAAGCGATGGGGGAAGCAACCATATCACAACTGGCATAAACTCTGATTTTATACCAAACCATCAGCGAGCTTATTGGCTGAGTTGGTGAGTCCTGGAGATCATTAATGACTAGCAGAAATGAGTGTTTCAAAGAATTTCTGTGCCTCTGAATTCCACCTGAGGTATGCGACTATAGAAGTATGGGGACATAAATACTGAAAAAACAACAATATGTTGTAAGTTGCAAAAAATTGGATTGATATGGTCTTGTGTATTCCTTAGGAATCAACTGAATGACTATGTGCAAGACAGAAACCAGTTATCGGTTCCTTGTCACCGAGTTCAATTCAAGTTGCCAAACCCATCTGAACATCTTAACTTTCTGGGCAGGTCTGGTGGTTAGGCAGGAGAAGATGGGATTTACATGTTTACCATCAGCCCTCTGCACAGTTTAGGGATTTAGACCTCAGCAGTAGAGGCGAGAACTGCAAGTTTTTGTGATCCTCATTTTGAAGATTTGTTTGTAAGTTTTGCACTGAACTGACACAATTAGCAGTTTAGTTTGGCAAAAATTGTACTTAAATATGTGGAACAGAATGGAAATGTCAAAATTATTGCCAGATTTCTTTGATGATTGGATCGGTGAATAAAAAAAAGGTTCATAGTTGTCCTGTAAATCCAATGTGCATGTTTCGCTTTAGTGAGGAGTTTCTTTCAAATATGACTCAAACCCAAGACGAGTAAAGAAAAAATAGCTACCTCGTTTTCATCTGTTATAAATTTCTGAGCACAAACAGGGTGACAGAGAAGAGATATACAAACAGAAGCTATGAAGACCGAGAGAACAATGACGTTTGCCAGAACCTCGATTGCTTCTTGTTGTATTTGTTCTTTCATCCTCAAATTTGCTTCTTTCTCCTCTGACACCTTTCCCCACCCTCACTTTTATTAGCTTCTTATGGATTTCCTTTGCCCAAGTTCCCGAAGAACGAGGAGAAATGAGAGGGAATAAAAGGAAAAGACAGCAAAGAGGGAGAAGAGGTGTGAGTACTTTGTAGGCTTTTGTGGTTATCTGCCACGAAATCAATGTGCCATAAACTTGTGTTTGCAGGGCCTTTTTCTTAACAACTTCGTGATGGCTTGTTTAGCCAACTTGACTCTTGAGTTGTGTGAAAGCATGTCATGAAAAACACTCTGAACACTTTGACCGTGGCTTTTATTTACTCTTCTTTCTCATCACGTTAATTTTGTGTCAAAAAGTTAGCTTGAAAACCAAAGAGATTTAGATACGAACGTAGAAAGTTTCGAGTTCTTTTTCTTTCTGGTTTTGAGGGCATTACTAAAGAAATTATTGGACTCATGATGGAAATGGACTAAGGCATGCAATTACAGCTTCTTGCACCATTATGCAAAGGTTCTTAGCTACACTTCACATATCTTGCATTGCAACAGATGGAACCTTTCTTCATTTATTTAATTGAATTGCTAGATGCGACATGAGATATTGACACGATGAAAATTTATTGAAACTTCGATCATACAAGAAAAAGAAGGCTCATTCTCAAACGACCACCTCCGAGGGGGTTGGTGTGTGCTAATGCTCAGGTGTGGATCAAAATTTGAGCACTGCACAATGACACTCTAGACAACTACAACTAATCCTCTTGTTCTTGATCCCTGATCCACTTTGTAGCCACCCATTTTTCCCCTTCAATTACAGGACAGCTCCCATGTATCGATAACTGCAGAGGCGCATCCAGCCAATAATTAAATTAGAATGGAACAAAATAAACAAACTTCTCTTACAAGGAATGAGATACCTCATACAGGATAAATTTCACGAGAAATGCTAAGAAAAACGTTCTTTCTTTCTCATCAATACTTCTTGAAATGATGATAATAAGAATGATACTGGGAAGCAACTAACCATATCAATTGTACCATTTGGGATCAATGAATAAAATAAAAGTCCATCCCCTTTGCGTGGCTTCACTTTCAAACCAACACATTCCCGAAAATCATAGTTTCCATCCATGTTTGAGCCATTCTGCAGATCAAAAAAGGATGATGAACAATGGACAAACCAAAAGGGTGATGAGAAAAGCAGAGGTGTTCAACTCACCTCATAAGGAAACATGGTTTCACCACCTTCTTCAACATCAGTTAAATACAACAAGAATGATGCAACCTACAAAGATCAAATAAGACTAATGTAAGCATTCTTTAAAACCTTTTGGAAAATAAACATTATGATTCTATCAGATCTACAACTTGTTATGGTTACTATTAGTGTTTAATCTTAGAAGATGGTTTAATGACCACTCCTGGATGCAACTTAACTTCCGCTATTAGCATATTATTATTTGATTTGAACATGTAATCATTAATAAATTTCTAGAATTTGTTTGAACTGGTCAAGTGGATGAGCGCAGAACATCTATCTGCGACTTCAGACATGAAAGCACACACATCTATTTGGTTTCAAGAAGTCAATAGAATTTATCCTGGTAATACTCCCATGCCATATATCTTTAAGGTGATACAGAATGACCACCTGTGCTCTCCAACCCAAGTATAAATGTTGTACAAGTGTAGGAAATAAAATATTGAGGTTTATCTTTGCCTGGTTTTATTTCCTAAAATGTGCACTCTGGGGAGTGGGTGTGCAAGGGTTTCTGTGATACACAAGCCAAAAAAAGAAAACAAATAATGACCAAATGAAACTCATGTTTTATATTGAAGATGTACCCTTTGGCTCTTCTGTGGACCATATTGATCAGGGTGGAATGCATCGTAATGAGAATTATACTTCTGCCCGATCTCATAGCGTAAGATGTTGAAAGCCTGAAACATGATATCCTCAGCTCAGACAATTTTACAAATTGGCCTGAAATAAAAGGTTAACTAATTCATAAAACAAGTAAAGCAGATTTAGCTTTTGCATAACAGAAACACATAGGCATGAAAGAATATCTTCACTATGATTACAACATCAAGTGTCCCATCATTACTTGGCAAATTAACATAAACAACCCATCAAGCAGCGGTACCTAACATTTAAATACTCATATAACAGTCTTGTCAACACTACCAAAAAAAGAACTTTTCCACGGCTCGGACCCATGCTGAGAAAATTTTTTGCCAACAAGAAATGGAACATCAAATACATAAAGTTAACTATATGCACAGCACACTTCCGATTTCTTACGCACAAGAAAGAAATTTCCAAGAAGTTAGTAAACAGCTGGGTTCGTTATTCTGCCATGAACTGACTGAGGATTTTCCGACAACCCTCCTTCCCCCAACTCCATTCACCCTTCCTACCACAGTTTGTGATTGCAGGCATTCTCATTTATAATTTTAAGGAATAAAATTACTTTGGCAACAAGAGAAATTTTTTATTTGATGCTGTCATCTTGGACAGAAGAAAAACTTCCACGAGCATTGCTTAGAACGAAACATGACTAGGCATTATGATTTTGTATAGAGAGATATGATGAGGATGATGATAATAAGCTCTAAACTGTACACTAAATAGTACCTCTCCATAGGTCCTGGGAAGCATTGTTGCTCTTGCAATCTTTTCCTCAATTGCATCCAGAGTCCCAGATTTATCATCAGAAGCGGAAAGAAACATGCCAGAACTGCTTGAAAAGACACTGTAAGCATGGTTTGTGGGATCTGTAATCACTCATATTAAGAAAACTATTCACATTTGGACCCGTTAGATTTATTCCTCTAAATATAAAATCATCAGATGCTAGTATTTCTCAGCTTGTATCAACACTCATAATATTTCACTAACAAGGCAGTCTTCAAAACTTTGGTGCAAGAGTAAAAATGGTATGCATAACAAGTACTAACAAAATATTAAGTTTGTGTACCTTGTTCGTATATCCTTCGTGTTCTCCTCTGTCTCACCCTCTCGCAAAGCCAAAGTTGATGGTTTAAGGCTTGGCTTGGCCGTACCGATTATGCTTTCACATTGCTCCGCAGTTGCAAAATTAGGAAAATATAGTGCACGCGGATACCAACTCAAGACCTACGCAGTTCATATGCCCTTTTTCTTGTAAGCTAATAAAAATTCAATCTTTGATCCCACAAAACTCATACAACCCTAAATTGATCAAACTGTTTAAAGAATCGTCACAAAGAAAAGTCGACAACCGAAACCTGAAAGGGAATGGAAGTTAAAGAATCGTCACCGGTCTCTCCATAAGGCATCGAAGTATACTCTGTTTCCAACAGTCTCGTTCTCAGCCTATTATCACCACCACCCACATCCTGCCAAAAATCAAAATTTGAAAAATGTTAAATGAATTATTTTTGAAAAACTGAAAAACCCACTAAAGTTCTTGATCAAAAACAAAAAAACCCATAAAAGGAAAAATGAAAACTTTGCCTGAGAGAGGAGAGAGGAGCTGTAGAAGCCAGCGAGGAAGAAGAAGGAGCATAAGATGAAAGTGGTTGGTAACCCAAGTTTGGACTTCAACTTGAACTTGGAGCTCCAATTCCCTTTCCCGCTTTTGGCTCTCATTGTAATTTCAATTTGTCTTCAAATGCAGGTGGCAATGGTGGTGTGAATGGTGGCTTCTACTTGCTCTCTCGTCTGTAAATTTTTGTGCTTTTGTTTTGCGTTTGACAAACGACAGTCGATCAAAGACTTAATTGCAGAGTCTTTGTCAAGACTGTAAACAAGCGTGTTCCAAATTCTAATTGCGCGCACAGCACGGCGGGAGTTTGCGTAAAACTACTGAGATTTTTGTAATCTGACCGAAAAAAGAAGATTGAGATTTTTGGAACCAAATTACTGGGGGTGTAGTCAAGCTTAAGAGGATTTGGAATCCAATGGGTACAACGAATATATTTGGTCGGGGGAGTAAATTTCCCTGTTTTGCAAAGTGCTCAAATCCAAAGTCATAACCCACAGAATTGTGTCTCTGACAAAGTGGGTTAATAGATTCTTCCCAAGGTGGTCCTTTGGTTTTCATGGTTTTACAACTCTACTTTTTTCTTTTTCTTTTTTAAACTTTCGCTTTGTAAATTCAAATTCTACCTTCTCCATTGTGATTATTCTCATTTGTTCTGAAAAAGGTCAAGTATCATCCTTCATTATTCCAACTAGAAATAGAACCCCCAATCTTTTCTACTCCTGAAAAGATGGCACTAAATACCATTCTACACAACTTTTTAAGACTTTCCACAGAGAGAGAGAGTGAGAGAAAAGTTACAATCTTTTAGACGGTGAATATTGAAAAACCATGGCCAAAGAGGAGGAAATCAATAAGAAAATGACATGACGAAAAAGGGTATGATGAAAGAAATAACTCTTGGCCTAAGATATTACCCACAAAAGATCAAAGGTAGCCCAAGTGTCACTGGGGTCGCATCATATTCTCTCAATTCTTTGCCGTACTCATCGTTCGTGGATTTTCTTTTTTCACTTTTTACTGTGACAAATGTGTCTTTTACCTATTGACCGAAACAAATAAACGTATCTTTTACCTTTAGACACAGCCTTTTTTTCTTTTTTTTTTGGGTGAAAACCAAGGTATCACCCGCGTGATTGTGGAGACTAACCCTCGAGGTACTGTAGGACGCAAAGCGAGAACCTCTCCCAACAAAGTCTACTCTATTCGCAAGCACCTGAGATCGAACCCAGGACCTCTTGTTTAAAGGATACAAGCCCTTTCCACTTGGACCAACTCCTGTTGGTCGACACAGCCTTTTATATTTGGGTAGATTTCGATAATTTTTTTTTTTTTTTACTGCAGACTCCCTGGTTTTTCTCCCTCGGTTGGGTCCGGACTTTGGTCCCATGAGCATGAGGATTGCACACAAAACTGCGTGGAAGGTAACGAATTCCACATTGCATTTGCACAATCAACACCCCCAACACTCCGTTTCCACACACACACACACAAAACAAAATAAAATAAAATAACAAATCTCCGAAGGCCCCTAATAGCATTACTCTTTGGGAAATCTAAATTACAAGCCTACATAATTGACGGTCCAAAAGTACGCACACAAAGAAGAGGCTTGCACACATGTCCAATTGAGTGGGCCCACCCATGAAATACAAGTCCTTGCTTATCACACATTTTGTCCACCTGGCTTGGGTCACCCTCCAAACAAACCCTTTCCTTGCAAGTAAATTACAAATATAATTCTGATCAGTTGTTTTCCTCCACGTAAATAATGCATGGTCCTTGAAAAAACACAGCCATGTCTTTTAACTAGAGAGCTGAAACCTCACTCATCTCTTTCCCCAACTTCATGCCAGTTGAACAGAGAAATTCAGAGTACACCTAAACTGCGCTTGGTTCAGTTCAACTTGGGGAAATAGATGCTCCGGGCAGATGTATATTGCTCTCCGCTTTACAGTCCTCCACAAGTCAAGTTAGTGAAGGATGGTAGCAGCTCCAGCTCATGGCTGATCCAATACCGCAGTACTCGAAGGCTACCCAAGGGGGTTTCTGTAAAAGCCTTGAAAGATGAGGCAGGCGGGGAAACGAGCGGTTTCCGTGGCCAGAGTTGGGATCCCGGGTCAGAAATCGAGGTTCCTTATGAACAAAGGCCGGTATGTTTTCACTTTCTCTGTATACCTTCCGCAAGCAATCCCATTTCTTCATCGGTCGACACAAATTAGATGAACTTATCCATTGAATGAGATTTCAGCAGGATCCGTTGTCTTTAGCTAGGTCCAGTTGGTAATAATCACTACCCCTCTTGAAGAAACCTTGTGACAACAAATCTAGTTTTTCAGTTTTCTTAAATGAATCAGAAAATATAAAAGAAATAACAAGGAAAATTAGGCATCATGAGTAGTGAGTGAAATGCTTCATAAGCTATGGAAACAACGGCTCTTATGGCCAAGTAGTACCTATGCCCACTTTAAGTCATGGGATTGAAAAGGTGTTCGAATCCCAGAAGGGTAAGAGGAGGTTTTGAGGGAAAGTCAGGGCCATCCCTTATTATGCACCCCAGCAATTGGCCCAAAAAGAAAATGAATAGAAAAGGGAAAGGGAATCAGATTCAAACAGATTCCCCCGCATTATTTCTTGTAAGCAATATGCCATGAAAATTCATACTTACAGTTTTTTGGTTAGGTGAATGAGTACTCATCTCTGAAGGACGGAGTTTTATACTCGTGGGGCGAACTGGGACCTGGGCCTTTCCTCCTTCGTCTTGGAGGTTTGTGGTTGGTAACTTTCACAACTCTAGGAGTGCCTATTGCAGCTGCAAGCTTTAATCCATCAAGGGTAAGATATTGAACGTTTTAAAGTCAAAATAAAAAATATGCGGATATGGCCAGATACTTTATGTAGAGTAGTAGTGTACAGAAAAAAATAAATAAAATTAATGTCTCGGGACCAACACGTCTTTCTGAAACTAGAAGAGAAATGTATCTCGTGCTTCCAAATGTCTAAGACTATACTCAAACGGTCAGCAAAATCACACACAGAACCACTGGCATATTACTAAAAAAGTTAAACAAGAAGCACATATCAGCACCAGCAAGAGGTATTTCATTTGTCCTTACTCCAGTTGTTCCAACCTTGCAGGATCCTCTAAAATTTGCGCTAGCTGCTGGAACTGGAACTCTTTTTGTTGTATCGTTGATCGTCTTAAGAATTTATCTGGTACTATTTTCAGCTTACTTCTTCTTATAATCACTACTGGAGTGCATGCGTGGAAGTTTGACATTGAGCACTAGCAAAAGCTCATAGCCAAAACTACAATATTCGATAGGAAAACCACTGCATGGTCTGTTATGATACTGACAATAATGGACTAAATTCTACTGGTCACAATATATATTATTTGTTTCCAGTCCCAAATACAAGAGAACATACTTGTTTAATGTACAGGTTCCCCAGTATGTAAGGATTCCATGAAACAAATGCACGGCACTCCCAAAAATAATAGCAATGGGAAAAAGAATAAAAAAAAAAAAAAAAACTTAATCTTTTAATCGAATGAATGTTACTTCCAAGCAATTTTCATGCTTGATATTTGTTTGATACACCTCTTGATGTAGAATTTTTAAAGCAAGTAAACCATATTATCATTCCTATTGCAGGGATGGAGTTATGTTGGTGATCGACTACTATCAGCAGTCATACCTTACGAAGAGAGTGGCTGGTATGATGGACAAATGTGGGTAAAGCCACCTGAGGTTAGCACCCTTAACCTCATCCTTTCTCAGTTAATAAGAAACAAGGATGAAATCGTCCTGGACAAGTTAGCCTTCCAAGTTCAATCACATCTTATTCAAGTATTCAACTGAAACAGGCTAAGTAGAATAATCAGTAAATGATAAAATTCATTCAAAGGAATTTACTAATCACATGAGGCTTGATGTTTATGCATATATTGCCTCTCTACATCAAAACCTCGAAATTATGATTATGCTGTGGAAACGAATTTGTAGCATATCATTAGAGCTTAATACTGAAACAAGGTTTCTGATAGTCAACTGTGTATATATGTGTGGTGTATATGTGCAAATGCATGTCATGGAGAATAATTTATGAGATATTAACTAAGTATGGTTATCAGAGAAGGTGAAAATCTGAATGTATCTAAAACTGGTACACTAAGAAATTTAAACAATTAAAAAAATCAGGGTCCGTGTCCTACATAATGGGAATGAAATCTATCAAGGTAAAAACACATCCAATTGAACAGAAAGAAAAAACATGTAAAACCATCTAGGCCTGTGGCAACCCATAATTTAGGTAGATATCAACAAAGCATGATGATCCTAATGAATTTCATCATTTGATTACTAAGAGAAATAAACGTCAAGTAAAAGAGAGTACTTATACTAAAATAAGAATAGGTAAGTATTTCCACAATACCTGTCATGTCACAATTCTTGTTACCCCGTTGCTATGGCGGACCATTTCATCTTGTGGCCAACCACTGAATAAATGATAGCAGCATACCTAAGTGAATCTGATCTTAATTTGAGACTCAGAAAAAAACAAATAAGAGTTTCCCATAGTTAAGAGTTTTGCTACCATAAGTCAAGATCAGCTTATTCTTGGAGTTGTCCGGTTGAGTGAACAGTCAGAATGAATATGGTACAGGAGGGCATGAGATCAACCTTCGCCTTCCCTCTATTACCCATACAGATTAATGCAGGAACCATCTATGTGTAAGGTTTCACCACTGAAAACTAACACCTAAATTTTTTCCTGTAGGTCTTGGCTCGTGATAGACTATTGGGCTCTTACAAGGTACTAGCAACTGGAACTTGAAATGTATGCCAAATATCAAAATACGTCCCAGAGAAGGATGGATGCATGCTAAACAAAGTTATTTTGAGGTGGAAGAAAAACAAAATGCACAGATGCACACACCTTAGTTTTCAAGGCACTACAAAAGATGTGAGCTGCCATGTATAAACTTCATCATTAGAATTATGAGATTCATGTGAAAAATTGAAAATTTATGCAAGCAGGTTAAACCCGTCATCAAATTGCTGAAACAGACTCTAGTTGGAACAGGGGCATTACTTGTCACAGGAGTGTTGCTGTTTATCTTTGCTACACCGGTGGAGGATTTCATTCACACCACATTTGGCATAAAAGATAACTCATCAAATGTTTCCGCCTCAAAGATCAGCACAAAGTTCAACATAAGGTTTTATAGATAAATAGAGATTGCAACCCTCTGGTCAATTATTTACAAATAAGTTTTTTTCTACTTTGTTCTCCAATGTTACTTAATCTTGCAGAAAAGAGGAGTTGCTAAAATTGCCTACGGACGTGAGGTCTGATGATGATCTAGCAGCAGCCGCTGCTGAGGCTGCTGATGGAAGACCAGTCTACTGCAGAGATAGGTTTTATCGTGCATTAGCTGGTGGGCAGTACTGCAAATGGGAGGATCTACTTAAGTGATGGGCAAAAGACAAAGGAAAAGAACAATTCATATGAAATTCCATATCATAATATACAAAATTGTTTTACAAACTAAAGTAGTGACCTGCATAGCAATGCAATATCCATTAAGGAAAATCCACTAGCACTGGCAAATACATGGGGGGAGGGAGTGGGTAGCGTGATATGGTGGCATGCCACCTTAGTCACCACCTAATTTTATAAAACAGATTCTGTAAAAGCATTTGACAAATAGAATTTTCTCTATAACTATGCTCTGTAATTTGTTTAAACAGCAAAAATGTAAGGTTCTATCTCATTATATTAGTAGAACAAATTATTAGAAAATCAGAGATAAACAAAGCATGAAAGAAGGAAATGAGGTAGAACGCACACGCATATATAAGGTGATGTGTCAAAAATTGAGCACATCATGTCTGATTTACTACTTTGCTGTACATTATGCAATTAATGGAAGAGGAAAAATTACCAACTGTTCAAAGAAGATAGTAACTATACATGATAAACATGGGGAACCATGTAAAATTAAAAACGAGGAAAATATATATCATAGCTATGTGAGACACATCAAAATACCATTGGTTTGCTTCCACATTATCTACTACCACCTCAACGCTTTTTGCCAAATGAACTTCCTGAAGGAACAACTAGACAGTCCTAAATATCTAAATGATAATCTTTACAAGTCTTGATAGCAGGATGAAAAGTCATCTTCTTCAACACCAATCACTGCCAGCCATACTTGGTATCCAAACAACCTTGATTAGTGAGGTTTGCAAGAAATCAACAACAGAGCCTCTGATGTCAGAAATCAAGCATTCTACCACGGCAGATAGCTCAGCCAAATTAGTGTGAAGCCACAAGCAATATCCCTTACAAACAAGTTTGTAGCACCAATTGCAAGCTCTAAATAGCTGTACTTCAAAAAGATGCGAAGAGCCATTTGTGATCATGAATGCTAATTGCTACACCAAATTATAGTGTATGAGAGCCCCAAAGGATATCTCTCCCAAAAAAGTTCCGCAAACACTAGACAATTGACCTTCAACTGTATGCTATCATCATGGTGAAAACTAATAACAGGATACAGGATCATTGCTTTTGCACTAATTGCAGATGTGTAAGCAATCTGACACCCTGATTAGAGCAAAGCAAAATCAACGATGAATCCTTGGATCTCAGAAAAGAGGCATTTACCATGCAAGAGAGCTGTAGAACCCATGGTGTGTAGTTCCCCAACTAATATACCTAATAAACAAGTCTTTTGCCCCAATTGAGAATTTTAAAAATCCGTTTGTCAACAACATCCCTGAATGCACTTTTCCTTCTTTTTGCATCTTCAAGATCCAAAGTTCTATATGCAAGAGCAAGAAGATACATTGCAGGATGGAGTCTCCTGCACATACCATAAAACGGATAGTAAGTGTATTTCAAAAGGTATTAAAGCACCAATTAAAGTCATAATGGACTAATAGAGGGATAATATACAAAAGAGCTCCCTGAAAATAATAAACATGTAAAGACAACACCATTAATCATAATGCTGGCATTTGACAAGAAACACAAAAAGAAAATTTTAATAAAAAATAAAAACACTAAATTTGAAAATAAATTCTGAGGTTTCACTTTGAACACATTTTTCAAGCCATTATAAGATTCACCAGATCTCATTTTATTTTTTTTCAACTCTTAACACACAGTTTGGAACCAGATGGAAAAAGGGTTAAACTCATTTGCAATTTAATTCATTGAATTAATTCGTAATGAATTATTATGCTTAGAACCGAACATCAAACGCGATGTGTTCCAAACTCATTAAATTTACAGTATAAGTTAATATAATTCATACAAATTGAACATAAATGCAAAACAAGTTCAAAATTAAAATTCCTGTTCTATTTAGTAAAGTAATTAAACACTAGAGTTGAGAAAAACTGTGAATGATGAAAAAGAGCTCAACCTCAAAGCACACGACCTACTTACTGTTCAAATTGTTTGCCTGCATCAAAGCCATCCCAATACCGTTGTGATGGCAACATCCGGCCTTTCTTATCTCTGCCAAATGTTTCAATATACCAACCACCTATATCATGCATGCCACAGCGAGGCTCAAACAGCCAAAATCTGTTCGCATAAGCTAAGTTATGAAAACTATTTAATGATACAATATGTTGGACTAATTTCATATGATATACATAGGACTAACAGGATTACTCTAACCAACAATTTTTTGGGTAGCTTACGTAAAGCAGTCTCACTTGAGAACAGAGAAGTAGATTTATAACTATGAAAGTGATATCACATTACTCTAATCTAAGTAAACTGAAGAAGAACAAAAGGAAGCACATAAAGAATAACAATGGTAGCAAAATTTTTGCATGCTTTGATAAACATTACAAACAATTGTCTGGTGATGCCAAAACTATTAAATTTAACACACAATTATGAAGAGAAAGAAATTACGCATGACAAAGCCATAGCATGCTCTTGCAATGAAGAAATAACATGGAGGCATATTTACATGAAAATAAAGTACCAGAATGAATCCATTACTGAAATTAAAGTGAAGCTTTCAAACGGATGTCGCAGCTTACTTGCTTGGTGGTAACCGGGCTCTACTGCATCTACACTCACAAACAGAAACCTTTTCTCCCAATTCATACCAAAACATGTGTTTCACCTGTACAAATGTTAAAAGTATAAATATAAGAATAACTAATTTGAAAATAGTCTATATATTATAAAGCACCTCTAAGGCAAATATAATTAGAATCACACAAACAGATATATGACACTGACAATAACAAAATTTCAGGCTGGCAGTTATGGTGACCAATAATGGTTCTTAACAAGATGCTTCATGCAATGATATGCATTTGTACAAAATGAACCCCCTAGAATAAAAGTCATGTCAAAATATAATATTTATGCAGGCAATATGAGAAAAAGTAACCATCTCTAACACCAAATCCGTTTTAGTTTAAAGAACTATTGACGATCATATGTCAGTGCAAGTACATCTTAGAATATGCACCACTGGTATATACAAGAAATTGAGGAGGATCATGCAGAATCTGAAACCTGCAGATTTTCCCTCTAATCAAATATGACAATATATAAACTTTAAGCAAGAAATTGTATCGATAAGGATGAAAGCCAAAGGGCATAAGAACTTAAGAAAACCAGGTTTACAAACCAGCAATGTTCTATGCTTCATAATCACATGGGTTTTGGTACCACTGCTATTGTAGACAAGGCAAGACCCTTCTTCTGAGCTAGTCCCTAATCCGGTTATAGTTCCCATTAGAATCCTCGATCCAACGGCAGCATCTGAAAAAGAATCTTCAGTAAACCCTTCGCTGGTATGGACAGGATTTTCATTAGAGCTCAGATATACATGAATGTGATCAGACTCTTCATTCTGCATCCCATCAGAGTAGCTTTTTGGAGGGGCTCTGGTGGCTGTAGCAACCACCCTCCCAGATATATGCAATTCTAAATCTTTATATGCATCTGATGTTTCATCTGTAACATCCCAGGTTCGCACATGAGCATTTCCAGCATCATCAACACCACCAGAGTTCATGCAGATGCTCAAGTCCTGAACAGATTGACAAATCCCCAAACCCGCAGATGTGGAATAACTTAATTTCTTATTGCTGTAAGATGATAACTCTGGAACTATATTGACCAGGCAGACCATCCCAAAAAGATCACGGCCTGAAACCAAATGCAGCACCTCTGGAGTTTCACACACAGATCTCTCTTCAGCTTCAAAGCAGTCAGGAAGAAGGTCCATAGACTCAATTAGAGGGCCATAGTACGCCGCACGTACAGCTGAATAAAAATCTCCCTCAAGAACATCAAAATAACCTGTTCCAACAACCACCTTCCTCTCTGACAGCACATCATTTATAGCAAGTCTATACCACTTCAACCATTCAACAACTTCCATCCGCTTATATGTAGTTAGATGACGCTTGTACATGTGCAATGTCATGCCGCACCCAGAATGTTTCTGCATAAAATTTCTCTGAGATAACAGGTCCCTGTCATAATGGGCCCTCTTTTCACAATCTGAAAGAATCTGCAATCCATTATCGATTGTGCAGTCAGGTCAGAATACCTGTATTTGCCTTGTAATTTGTAAATTCCTCTTTGGATGATTGCTCATAGAAGGGTAAATACCTACGATCTTATTCAAAGAAGAAGGCCTATTGTTTGTATCACTTTATTAGTGCATCATGTGCAAAGAAGATGCTGAGGGTATTGACCATATTTTCCTTCATTGTTCCATTGCTTTAGACTACAGCACGAGCTGTTTAGGAAAGAAAGGATAAATTGGATAATTTCATTTTTGTCTGTCCCTTTGTTTGCTAAAAGACTTTTTTCTTTTGGTGGAGGGAAAACGAGGTCAATTTTCTATTTGTAGCCTCTTCCATTTTAATGGTAGAGATACCAAAAGTTTTATTCTTTCTTACAAAACAAACTGAAGTGGCAATTTATATGGTACATTTCCTACAGCCTACACAGACTAATGTGATACCCGCAGCATGCCACAGATAAGCTGCAGTGTCAGTTGGTACACGGAAACTGCAGTAAACATCCTATTTGTTCTTCTAAGAATCCAAGCAATAAAGTTCTCCCAAGCTTAAGTTTTTTAATCTAGCTATAATACAAACCCCAATTCCTTTTTCACTAATCCAATTGTAAACTTCAAGACTTTTTTTTCTTTTGAATGAAAATTTAAGGATAATCACTTCCCAAACCATGTAATGTTTATTCATCATAACCGAAAAAAGTAGATGAAAATGAGTTTAAAATCGAATAATTAAAATCAGATAATTGAAGACAACCTCATAGGCGGCGAGGATTTGCACGAATCTGCGAGAAGCATCGGAATCGTTCGTGGACTCGGCGAGGTCCGGATGAGTCTGTTTCGCCAATTTGTGGAAAGACGCTTTGATTTCGGCAAATGAGCTGGTTTCTGAAACGCCTAAGACCTCATAGGCGTTCTCTGAGGTGAACTCGGCCCGATTTGACTCGGTTCTGCTACTGAACCACCGAGTTCCAGTACTCTGATTGAAGAGAAATAAGAGATAACACCTTTGATTTGGTCGAATTGAGAGCAGAGGAAATGGAAGACGGCGAAGCAAATCTCCGGGATGAGAAGCCATTTTTTAATTTTACTTGTTTATTGGGGAATTTTGGAAATTTTGGAAATGGTGGAGCAGCTGAAACATTGAGCGAGGAACAGTGAAGGTGAGGTTTGGGGAGGCACACTGAGACTGAGAGGAGTGTATGGAAGTTGACAGGTGCCGCTCGCTGCGCGTTCGTTAGAGGAAGTGAATGATCCGGTCTTAACTGTTAGGATCGGTTAGTGCTAGTATGAAATTGTAGAAAAATAAAGAACACCAGAAATTAACGTGGTTCGGCAATGCCTACGTACACGGGGCAGCAATATAAACTTCTTCCACTATAACAAAATAATGGGTACAACAAGACAGATCTTACCAAGCCAATGCCCAGGGCTTGATGATACACACAGAGAAAGTACAACGACACCACACTATACTCTCCTGTTTTACCTCACTCACACACTTGGAGTGGTACACAATTAACTCTCTCACTCTCACAGAATTGGAGTGGAATACTGATGGCTGTTTGGATGGTGTTCTCTCACTTCTCTCTCTTGCTCTCGGCTTCTCCAACTCTCTCTGACTCTTCAACACAACACACA